TTTACACGTAAGGATCAGCGCCCCTCGTTACACCGAGCGGCTCCATCCTTCTGGGCGGATCGGAGTAGAATGCTGTCACCAATGATTTCATATCGCTGACAGCATTGCATTTGTGTGTGCGTCACTGAGGCTGCGCTCACTAACACAGACTGCTTTCACTTTGAAAGCATGAATCTCGCTCTTCTCCGCTCGCGAATCGCCTTCTTCAGTGAAGGCAGCCCGCTCTCCCGTTTCTCTTCCTTCAGCTAGCTCGGAGAAGGAAACGGTGAAGTCACGGAGCTGCCCTTACCAAAAAGTAGTATACTTCAAGTTTATTTTATTAAGTATACTTAAGTAAAGTTCAAGTATATTTTTAAGTATACTTTATGTAGTAAGTATACAAATATCAGTGTACTTTGTAAATTGGCCCACTTTCTAGTATATAAAAGTATACTTTAAGTATAACAGTCAGGGCTCGCCAAATCGCTAGCCCGACGTCCCGGGTGGTATTGTGTTTTCCAGTCGGGCTACCAAAATGTATCGCTCTCCTGACCGACGGGCTATCTTGAATAGTGATATAAAAATCCCTTCCTTGATTCGCGTTGTTCACTCGCTTGTAGGGGTGAAACGGATCATAGTTTATCATTTACACGTGTTTCTAAGTCTTACCAATTTAAACATTCAAGTGTTTTAAACCATTCATGTGCATGAAGAATTCAGTTCGGTGCTCGCGCGCACACGCTCAAAGCGCGCACATACAGAGCGGCGTTTCAGGCAGAGCGCGAATACAGAATTGATTCCTCTTTCGCTTGAAGGGACACATACACGCAAAATTATCTCAAAATAATCTCGGCAAGTATTTTCATGTCTTAAATGAACGTAAACAGTGGATGAGCTTATAGGTATACTGATAGCTTACTAATGAAATACTTGTAGTAGCATTTTTAGTGTATAGTCTCAGTAAACTACTAGTTTAGTAGTTTTATACTGTAAGTATACTCGTAAGTTTTCTTTAAGTGAACTTTACATCATACTTTAAGTATACCACTATGTCCCTATTTAGATATTAATTTGTATATATTTTGTTACACGAATATCTGAACATACAAAACATCAAAAGAAAGAACAGGGTATCTGCTTGTAAACAAAAACATTTTATTCTAGCTTCATGCATTCTTTTTTTAAACACTTGAATTTGGGTAAGTGTCATAGATAAAAAATTAAGAAATAAACGACATTTTGAATAAAAAACTGAAAAAAAGACTATGAATCAAAATGTAGATAGAGTTGATCAACACCCCAAAGCTTGACAGTCATTATTACTTCTTTACTGGTCGACATTTTATTCCATAACGTTACACAGTTTTGATGCTGTTTTATGTCTGATGATCGTGTTAGATTACGGCCGTTTCTCAAACATCCTCCTAAGGTCGCATTTTCAGGCTGCATATGTCATCAAGCCTGGTTTATTTCAGTTAACTGAGCATTATATTCACAAGTCATAAGCATATTATAACAATTTACGCTTAACTAAGAATAATGGTCAAATTTATAACTATTAATATTCTAAAATAAGATCTTCTTTATGACGTATGCAGCCTACAAATGCAACCTCCGAAGGACACAGCCTTTCGTTTGAGAAACGGCCTACATGTGGAAGCATCTGTTGTTTCAGTTTCTTCTTCACTTGTGTTTTTTGAAAATTCTGTACAGAAGATATGTACTAGCGCCCCCTACCGCATTACAATGAAAACACTGATTCTAGGAGCACAAGTAGGCCTATAGCTCAAATATATTTAGACTTTTTCTAAGTATAAGTCAAGTATACTTAAATGTGATTTTAAGTATATTTCTGAGAAGTACATAAAGTCAATATCTGAGAAGTACATACAATGTAGACTAAAAGTATACTTTCCTATTTTTAGTTTAAAAGAAGTATACTAATAGCACACTTGAATAAACTAATTTTTCGTAAGGGTGAGCAACCGGGTTTGAGTGATCTCATGCCGGCAAAGAGCCCGCATGCTCACTCTCCCCCCACAATTTCATCCGCCGGCGTGTTTTACACGTGAGGAAAAAAACGCCCCTCGTTACATCGAGTGGCTCAATCCTTCTAGGCGGATCGGAGTGGAAGGCTGTCACTAATAGTTTAATATCGCTGACATCTTCGGATTTGAGTCCGCCGCACGCCTGGGACACACCCACGCTGAGGCTGTGCTCACTGAGACAGTCTCACTAGGAGAGCGTATGTGTCTCGTTCTGCTTCTCTTGCGGTTCGCCTTTTTCAATGAAGATGGCACCGCCCCTCCCGCTCTCACGTTCTCTCCTCCCAGTTGCCTATAAGGTTAGATCTCTGCCACAATTCTGCGCGCGAAAGACTTGTCTATAGTCCTACGGGCCCTACGGGTGACTTTCAAGCGCTGTCAATCAGCGCCTCTTGTCTTGAGTTTGGACCTAACGATTGTAAAGTCATCCTAAAACCAAGACATGGATATGTTTCTAAGGTGCTCTCGACTCCGTTCAGGAGCTCAGGTGATCTCCCTATTGACGCTCCCCGCTACTGATCTTGAGCAGGGTCTGAACCTGCTCTGTCCAATAAGGTCTCTGAGAGTATATCTAGAGTGCTCTAGCCTGTTCACACAGTCAGAGCAGCATTTTTGTTTGCTCTGGAGCCTGCCATAAGGGACTGCCGGCCACAAAGCAGCGACTTTCTTGCTGGATTGTTGATGCAATAGCCTTGGCTTACGCCTCAGAAGGCTTACAATGCTCTATAGGTGTGAGGGCCCATTCCACAAGGGGGATGGCCTTCTCCTGGGCATGGTCCAGTGGGATTTCTATTGGTGAGATCTGTGCGGCCGCCGGCTGGTCGTCGCTGTCCACATTTGCCAGATTTGACAACTTAGACGTCCCTGCCTTGCAGGCGCGAGTTCTTTCGGTTTAAATTGCCATTCTTCCCCCCTTTGGGCGAAGCTGGTTGTATTCGTGCTTCTCAGCTACTAACTTGGGGCACGATGTGCCCAGGTTTTTAGGGTTTCTTATTAGTGTTCCGAGACTGGGCTCGCAGAGCAAGATATTCTGTATCTGCTCATAGCGCAGCGTGATTGGATGCGTTCCCCATAGCGTTATAAGCAACGGGAGAGACCGTTTGAAAGGGAACGCTCCGGTTACTGACATAACCTCGGTTCCCTGAGATAAGGGAAAGAGTGTTGCGTCACTCGCCGTGCTATAAGCTGCACGCAAATCGATGACTGTCACTTCAGTCGAATGATCTGATGAATGGCGCTCTGAGCCAACTTATATAGGGGTGTCGGCTCCGCCCTTTCTGTCGGGCTAAAGCGCCATTGGTTTGTGCAGCTACACAAACGTGAACAAATCAGGCTTCAGTACAGAGTAAAACAGGAGTTTCCCCCATAGCATTATACGCAACGCTCATTCCCTTATCTCAGGGAACCGAGGTTACGTCAGTAACCGGAGCATTTTCAAGCTCTCAGCTCCCTCTACTGATGAAAAGCTTTACCAGTGTTAATTCTCGTATTGCTTCGCTGATTTTTGGTGTGTTGATCCTTGAATGTTGAAAACCAATAAACCTAGAAGTTACATGAGTTTCACCCACATAGGGAATTTTAGGCAGGTTTATTGAGTTTGGCACAGACTACAGTAGTACAGTAGACTACAGACTACAGAGTTCTCAGGATCTGAAGCCGTGCAAAGGGTGTGGAATGCAAACGGAGCATAAACACACAATGGAGAAATGCTGGTCCTGTAAGGCATCCATATGCCTCTTCATGAAAAATCATGTTTGCCGAAAGAAAGGGAAGTAATTATTCCTGAATACTTGAGAACTAGTTAATTGATGCTTATAAACACTTTAGTTAAATATAATCTGTGAAGAGATGTTGAGATATGGTAAAGGCACTGTAATTAACAAATGTAATGAAATTCTGCTAATCATATTACTAAAAGTAAAGGCATTACAGTGCATGTAAAGTTTGTTTTAATTTGTTAAGATTAATACTGTTACATTTTGTGGTGGTATATAACTCCACAACACTTGAAACAGAGTGTGCCAAACATACTTGTTTGAAGTTGGAATTTATCACTGTAATGTCATTTTTCTGTAGTATTTTGTAGTAATATTTTGAACCATTAACTACTAACATACATAACAAATAATATTTATTAAAATATGTTTTTTTCTTTTGTTCTACTGTTGCAATTCTGCTCTAAATTTGTAACAATCTTGATTTACTGTTGAATTATTTTATTGCAACAATTGTTATGTGAAACAATATGTGAAATTTAGCAATTAAACATGAAAATGTAGCCTTTTTACTTGGTCATAATTCCTCCTGAAGACATTTCACAGATATTTTACATTTTACCTTTTATAATTTGTAAAAAATTCACATTAATTTGTAAAGAATTTTTTATTTAATTTACATTTTTTATTTAAAATATAACAATCTAGCACACTGATTCCTGCTGTAAGTTATTCTTTCTATTCAAGACTGACAGGGTAGGATGGGATGGAAAATGATCAGCACCTTGTGTCACAGTGGAAACTGTTTTACATAGTAATTTATGTTGGCTTGAATTAGTTTTTTTTGTTAGTTTTTTTGGAATTGAAAAGGTCAAAGCCTTCAGTTTTGGAAAGTATGGGAAGGAGATGATCTGTGTGCAATATATGTCAGTGTTATCATTTACTGTCTAATAAGCAAAGGAAAGTATTATTTTATGTATTTCTTTAATAGGAAAAAAGTCTGCTTGCTGACTGGCTGGCTAAATCAGATATTAAAAGTTAATGCCATGTTCTCCTTAAATATTCCCTTTGTTTTATTTTGCTGGTTTATGATACATACAGTATTTATCTTTATTCATATCTTATTTATCTTTATTCATTCATTAAATATAAAATAATAAAAACAACTCAAAGATATGTCAATGAAGTATGTTTAATTTATTCATCATTTATATCATTGTATTACAATATGATAATGATTTCAAAGCACATGAGTGGTTTATATTCAACAGCTGGAATAACATTTTCAAAAAACATTTTAGAACTATTAATTTTACACTTCATGGGAAAGCACACTGCAAGGCTCATGGCAGGCCCCATGTGCTCCTTAGGTTTTTGGGCGTATTTCCCCAATGACTGTGATTCGTTTTGGATCCCAAACACAGTCTTCCTCAAGACCACTTCGCACCATGCCACAGTTTGGAGGACACCAGGCAGTGTCGTACCCGTGATCATGCCAGGTAAACTGCAGTGGATGACCTTGGTGGTCAATCTTCTTCACTTTCCCAACATCAACTTTCACTCTCAGAACCACTTTCTGATGCTCATCTTCTAGACCCAGAGGGTATCTGGAGGCCTTATCTAGATCTCGGCTGAGGTAAACACCAGGTCCAAGCATTCCATTAGAAGATGGTTTGAAGCCAGAGACCTTGATTTTTTTGGCAGCTTCCTTTGATGTGCCATGATACATTCTGTAGACTCTACCATCCGCTGGTTCTCTGAAACTCTCAAGGCATGGTGGAGCACTTGGACCCAAATCGTCTTCAACCCACATGTTTGAAAAAGGACAAATCGAATCTCTAAAAATTAATAGAAACGCAGAATTTTTCCAGATCACTAGCAAACAGACTTACAAAGAAAGACATAATGACAAACACACATAAAATGGCATTAAAAAGTAATTTATATTTACAATATAAAATTAATTTCTCTTGTCATTATTAATTTTATTTAGGCTTTATAAACGCAATGACCAACAAAAGCACTGTAGATCCATTTCCACAAAGACAAAGTGGTGCCTTACCTCTGATGTTGCTTTTGAAGCTGATTGCTTCTTCCTGAAAGCAGGTATATAAATGGCATCTTTTTTAGGGTGTGTCCATGATGAAAGGTGTCCCATTTCATTTTTCCATTTGATTATAAAGTTCCAGTGTGATTTAAGTTTCATTTTTGCTGGTAAAGGACGATTTCCCTGAACATGCCCCACCTAATAAAAAACTATTTACACAGCTAAGCTATGAATAGCTCAGGTTAACAAATAATACAACTGATGTGCTCAAACATATAAGATCAACATTTATATTTATACTTGTATGACTTATATTTATATTTACTTTTCTTTTCATTTCAATTTTAAAATAATACCCAGCACCAAAACATCAAAAACATCAAAATAAAGAGAATAAATGAACAATAAGTTGTATATCAATATATATAGATTTGATATACAACTTATCTTTATAACTGAAGAAATGCCAGGGGAAAGATTAAGCCCTTATAAAAGATATGTTTATTTTATAAATAAATATAAAAATGAATATTAACTTTTTACTTTAAAATTATTTTTTTTCATTTTACTGCTTTGCATTTTTGTGCCCAGAATAGGAATATTTGCATGTAAATAGAATATACGTGACATAAACAAAAAGATAAAAAGTTATGGTATAGGGGCGGAAAAAAAATCTTTAAAGGGATAGTTCACCCCAAAAATTGTAATTATGTCATCATTTAGCCTGCTGAATTGTGGAACATAAAAGAAGGTATTTTGAAGTCTGTTGGTAACAAAGCTGATCAGGTTACCATGACTTCCATTGCATGAAGGAAAAAAAACTGAGATGTTTCTCAAATTATCTTTATATTCCATAATTTACCTATTTTTCAACACTGACCTTTACTCTGATAACAATTCTCTCATGTGGCTAATCGCAAGAGTATCTGCTAGTCTTGTTAATATTTTGCCTAAGGTAGACGCCACGTCCCAGCATGCCATCTGCTGATGGCTGAAAGCCAACGACTTTGATCTGTTCTGCTGAAGTTCCATGAAGTTCCTGATTACGAAGTATAAACCAGTACCATGGATGACTCAAAGTGTGGACAGAACAGCTATAAGGCGATATTTTATTTAAAGTCAACATCAGCAGATTGCAAACAAGTCTAATAAGGCTAAGGCTAAAAAAGGCTGCAGAGATCGACAGAATGATACAAATCAGCAGGCATAAATCATAATACAGCCAGCCAAGAATAAATTGGGACATGGGAACTTCCAAATAACAGGCATGAGAAAAACTCAGGAAGGAAATGGGCAAAGAACAATGCTGAAATATCCTGTGCTGTTAATTAATAGAGCTTCAATAGTCCTTAATTTAATTATGAGAAACACAAGAAGACGTTTTAGATTTTAGTTTAGTAACATCATTGTTATTTAAATTTCTTTTACATTATGTAAATTAGAGATTTTTCCAACATGAATATAAACATAATTATTTTTGTAAATATAATACTGAGCTGAAAATGATTAAAGGGGTCGTATGATGTTGCTAAAAAGAACATTATTTTGTGTATTTGGTGTAAGCTTGTTAATCCTAGATGTAAATTAGCTGGAACGTAAAGATAAACTTGAGAAGAATCAAACACAGAGACAGCTCTCAGTTTAAATGTAAATATGTGGGAGGTGAGAGAGATCCATGGGACAAAAAGTAACAAATCAGAGAAGTTGGCAGATGAGTGGAATAGCTTGTTTGAATGATACAAATAAGATGTTGTTTTGAGAGTTCTGCTCTGGCCAAAACACTTTCTTATATATTCTATTCATATATAACATCTCTCAAATGTGCTCAAAGCACAGTTTCTTCTGCATTGCCCTGTATGTTACTATACGGTCTGGTGTTTGTAGAGTATAAAATATGAATTTGTATTTCAGTTATGGTTCAATCAAATCTAATTTAATTCAGGAAAAGTCAGTAGTTTATTTAATATTTACAGTAGTTTATTTAATATAAAATACCTAAACTAACAGTTTATCTTTTGCCTTAGATTCTTTTTCTAACCATTTGAGCTATGTAAACTAAACAAATATTATTTCCCAGTAATTTCTTTCAGTTCAGTAACAACCTTGATTTTAATCTTGATTTTCAACACAGGCATGAAAACACAATGTGTAAAAAATGTGTAAAAAAAAAAAATTCTAAAATATAACTTCAGCAATGCAAACATTAAGTTGACAGCAATGTTTTATTCTTTAAAAAACATTAAAAAGAACCAGTACATTTGTCATTTCTATTTCTATTGTCTATTTCATGCATTTTTTTAATAATAATAGCCGCACTGCACTTTTGGGTAAATGATATCAATGATCTGAATCCGGCATGGATCCCAAATACAGTCTTCTTCCAGGCCGCTCGGCACCATGCCACAGTTTGGAGGGCACCAGGCAGTGTCGTACCCATGATCATGCCAGTTTTTCTGCATTGGATGACCTTGATAGTCGATTTTTTTTACTCTTCCAACATTGACCTGCACTCTGATAACAACTCTCTGATGCTCAGGCAGATTAAGTGGGTATCTGCTGGCCTTGTTAAGATCTCGGCTGAGGTAGACGCCACGTCCAAGCATGCCATTTGCAGATGGCCGAAAGCCACAGGCCATGATCTGCTGTGCAGCATATTGAGAGGTCCCATGATACATTAGGTATATTTGACCATTTACAGGCTCCGTGTAGCTTTGGAGACACGGCACACCTGGATACAAATCATCCTCTGCCCACATGTTTAAATCTAGATAAAACAAACAAAACTGTCCATCTGCTGTTGTATAAAGAGGTGCTGTGAGGTTTGTCGATATAGTGTAAAAGAAATATGATGCTTACCTCTTGGATGACAAATTCATACTGTGCAAACAGCTGCTTAAGAGGTGGCGAATATCTTGTAACCACACCTCAACAAGATGGAAACCCCCCAAACTTTAAGTTTCGTTTCTTTTGAAAAAAGCAGTCCAGAAACAGCTTTTACACAGCTGACAGAGAGCAGCAGAATGTGTTCATTTCAAATTGAAAATCTTGAAGAAGATTTTACAGTTTAGAGTTTCTTTGTACCCCTCACTGTCATCGTCTTATTGACATCTTTAAAATCACTTTGGCATTATTTTAATTGGTACAGTTAACTATAATAGCTTCACAGTTGTAACGTTGTAACTCTTTTTTCCCTTTTTTAACAGAGCATTAGCACAAGTTTGTGTTGTGTAAGTATTAAAACACAGTAATAATCAGAGGTCAATGATCAAATAATCACCAGCTGAGTAGAAAATGTAATCATTTTTATTTGAATTTAAACGTATGAAAATATGAAACAGAAACTACAAAGATAGCCTATAAAAAGAAATGAGGGTAAGATTGTTTGTCTTTTCAATGAGATGCCGTGCAGCTGCAGATCAGAGGAAGTGATTCGGTCCAAAAGACATTTCCTGGAAAATATCCTCTGCATGTGATCATAGAGGCATATGCATCTGTGAAAAAGCTGTGACCTTGCAGTTAAACAACTACTGGGAAGTTTCAACAGAGGTTATTTCTTAGAGGAAACAGATATTCTTCTTCACAACACACTTTAAACATGAATCATGTGCTGAACCTATTCAGAGATGAACGTACTGATGTTTGGAACCAAAGCATCTCATTTTAACAACAAATACTAATGGTATCTAATTCAAATCAACTTGATGGAAAAGGTATTCATTTGTATTGGAAATGTTATTTACCATGTGTGTAACATTTAAATGCTAAACAATTTATAAAGCTCTCTCTCCCCTCTTTTCTGCATCACCAGTTAAAATAAATACATTTAGGCCTATTAATAATTAGACTAAGGCCCGGTTTCACAGACAGGGCTTAGGTTGTGTCCCTCGGGTCATTTTGACCCAAAACTGATTTTTAAAGAATTTTTAAAAATCGTGTGTTGATCAGTATGGTTCAAGGCTTCTTTACTTTTGTCACACTTTCCATGGGAATACACAAAAAAAATGAGTGGATTCGAGGAGTTTATGTGGGTGTTATAAAAAAAAGCAACAAAAGTGTCCCTCGTGCGTCATTTTGACCCCCATAGGAATGAATGGAATGTATGAGGCTGAGACTACAGAATTACCCCAGTGCAGAAAACACTCACATACGCACACACACAAACACACGCATAGTACAAACACTCCCATAGAAACACATTGTAACATGTTTGTTGTTTCTGCTGGGAAATGACTGTCATTTTGCAATATTTTTTTACTTAAAACAGTTCAATTTGAGTGATGAGGTGGAGACCAATGAGTTTATATCATATTTAGATTTTTAAATATAAATTATATATTTATTACATATTTATGAAATTGTATGAATATGCATATGTTTAGGTTATAATTCAGTTTAAATTTAATTTTTTTCCACAAAATATGGATTTTTTTTAATGTCTCAATATATATTTGAATGTTATCAACCAATTTGAAGCCTCAATATGCCCATATTTTAAATGTTTCACTTGTTTGGCTCAGTTAAGAATCTCCATAGGATCCTATAGGCCCCTCTAGTGGCAGTAACCATAAAATGCAATTTTATGACTTTTTCTTCCACCAGATGGCGTCAGGAGGACTCAGTGACCCCATTCCAAGTTCATAAGTAGGTTTTTGATGAAAATGGACTGGAATTGTGTCTTTTGTTTGTTTTTTTGCTGAAATACTGTGACAAAATTGCTTATTTGCTCATATTTTCTTAGAAATATCCAGAATTTAAGGTACATAAAATAATAATCACCAAAAAATAAATAAATAAATAAATAAAAACCTACATAAACAATTAGAAAAGAAATTATAAAAATTGATCAAAATTAGCTTTCTGGACTAAAATAAAAATTAGTGTCATTTTAAGCCTTCGGGTCATTTTGACCCGCGAGGGACACTTTTGTTACAGGTACGGGAGGGACGCACAAAGATTAAGCCTGGCCATTATTCAATTAGGACATTTAAGTAGCTTTGATAAAAATGCCATAGATAAAAACATGACTAGTGTGTATCCTGAGGCAAAACAATGAATCTGACCTATTTTAAGATCACTCAGTGCAAGTTTCTTTCAGTTGAAATAGCCCGGACATGCATTAGTTTGGGACTCGGCTTGTATTACATTTATCATTAACCTATAATTGTCCTCTGATTCGTATAAAGTAAAAAGTGGCCACAATAAATGCAGAGAGCTGAGAATGTCACTTGGCAAACAACAAAACAAAACATATTTTTGCAATAGGGCCTAAAGAGTACAAGAATAACAAGCGAAAAAGACAATAAACTAAATATTGTAAGAGGGTTACAATAGACGAAATTCTGAAATGGCTAATAAAATCATTAAATGTATAAATAGGATCAGTTCTCAAAGCGTCACGAAAAATGGGTTATTCAACAGTATGGGAATCTTTTACAAAATTAGAAGTCAACCCAACACACTTTTCCAAAACGCAATTCCAATAAGCGAGTAATTTCTTTAAAGGGGTCATATGATGCTGCTAAAAAGAACATTATTTTGTGTATTTGGTGTAATGAAATGTGTTTATGCGGTTTAAGGTTTAAAAAACACATTATTTTCCACATACTGTACATTATTGTTTCTCCTCTATGCCCCGCCTTTCAATTTTTTACAAAGCTCGTCGTCTGAAAAGCGAGGTGTGCTCTGATTGGCCAGCGATCCAGTGCGTTGTGATGTCCACGGTGAATAAATACTGAATTGCAGTCTTGTCTATAGTAATCACTATTTAAAAAGTACTTTGGCGCTACTTTGGTTATGGAAAATGGATTTTATGCATGGCTATGTATGCATGCAGCAGTGTTAAATGTCTACTCCTTTTGGAAATCCTCCTTTTTTAGATTGCAGAAGTGATAGATGAACGCCCAGATGAGATCAAGCAGCTCGAGGCATTCGGGACTGGCAAGTGGAAAGTGATCGGCGGTAAGACTTTTTGTATACTTTGAGTTCTTGTACTTTGCATCTGCTTGTTTTTGCTAATTTGTGTACTTATGTTTTTTTTAAATCTGTAAATAAACAAAGCTCACAATTTGGTTTTAATGGAACAAAATGTATTATGAATTATAAAATAATGCAAAATAAGTTTTGTATACACTACTGTTCAAAAGTTTGAGGTTGATAAGATTTTATAATGTCACCCTGTCTGAAATCAGAAATACAATAGAAAAGTAATATTATGAAGTATTATTACAATTTAAAATAACTTTTCTATTTTAATGTTTTAAAAATGTGATTTATTCCTGTGATGACAAAGCTGAAGTTTTAGCATCATTACTCCAGTCGTCATGTAATCCTTCAGAAATCATTCTAATTTGCTGATTTGGTGCTCAAGAGACATTTATTATTATCACTGTTGAAAACAGTTGTGCTGCTTAATCCTTTTTTGTAGAAACCATAATACAGGATGTTTTGATGAAAAGAAAGAACAGCATTTATTTGAAATGGAAATGTTTTGTAACATTATAGATGTCTACACACTGTCACATTTTGACAACTGAATGCATCCTTGCTGAAAGTATTAATATCTTTTTTTTTAAATAACGGTAGTGTGTGTACAAATAATTTATATATATATATATATATATATATATATAAAATAAAATTTGTGTCTTATATTGTAGCAACAGAGAGAGATCCCCAAGAAACCCAGGATTCTGCATTAGATAAAAGGTATAATGAAACTGTCCTTCCTCTTTAGTTCTAATTCTTTTTTAAATTATTACTGCATAAAGAGTGTAAAAAATATTCCTTTTTAGCTCTGACCCTGACAGAGGTCATAGAGTGTGGCATGATTCACCAGAGACTTCTCCTGTACGGAGGGCTCGGCACGATTCCCCTGATCTCTCACCCAAGAGGGCTCGGCACAACTCACCGGATCTCTCACCCCAGAGAAGAGGTCGTCATGACTCACCAGATCTCTCACCTCAAAGACACAGAGCCGAGAACAAAAACAGACGGCATGATTCCTTATCACCTTCCCCTCCAAGAAAGAGTCACAAGAGCTCACCCTCCAGAACTCAAAGGCCGCATGATAAAGGTGCGGAAATCTATCCACAAATCAGAAACAACATTTACACTATGAGTTATGTAGCTCAAAAATGATCTGTTATTTCAGAGTCTCCACACAGAAAAAAGACAAAAGCTGCCTCTTCAGATGACCTTTCGCCGCCCAGGAGACGAGTACGAAAAGGCAAAGGCTCAGACTCCGATCAGTCCCCACCACGCAGATGTCCTCATGGACGACGGGGCTCAGACTGTCTCCACCCAGAAAGAGAGGCCAGGGTGGAAGAGGTTCAGATTCAGCTCTCTCTCCTCCCAGGAAGAGGCCTCAGAGGGGACGTGGGTCGGACTCAGACCTGTCTCCACCACGTTGGACACGCTCTCCTGACGGACAGTTAGTGAGTTCAGGGTTCATGTTTGAGGATCCTTTATATCAGTGGTTCTCAACCAGGAGGCTGGGGCCCACTAGGGGGCCATAGCAAACTTAAGAGGGGCTGCAGGATGTTTTAAAATTAATTAAATAAACTATAGAATTTATTTATACTTTTAGGTTTTAAAATTTTTTTTTTTATAAAGTTATGGGCTTTTTGTGCCTTTTATTTTGAGAGTACAGTGGAGAGATGACAGGAAAGTATTGGGATGGAGAGAGGGGAGCAAAGGACCTCGAGGTGGGATTCGAACTTGGGTCGCTGTGAGCGCAGTTGTCGCATGTTGTTATGTCGCACACTAACCACGAGGCTATTGGTGCCGACTTCTTTTAGTTTTTTATGTTATAAATTAACTGTATAAAAATGTATACTGTAATCATACTACTTTTTTTTGCCACAGCCATATCACCCTGCAGCCCAAGACTGGTCGCCCACTGAAGCTAAGCAGGG